ATCACAGGGAACCAGTCCTTTCAAAATTGAAGCTCTGACAACTATTTACACCCTGAATGAGAGCCAAGTTACATCCACTTTTAAATGTTTATAGCGGCTGGACAGCTGCTCCAAAGAACAGTCAAGTGGGCACCGGGAGGCCAGAGCCCAGAGCCCGCCAGCCTGGACCCCATCCCCCATCCCCCACCCCCACTATTTGACACTCTGTACTGTCAGCAAACAAAACCGAATTCTCTGCTGCCCCCGGGGCCAGGCCTCCCTCATGTGTCTCCTGGCTTATGCCTGAGGCTCAAATAGCGCCCACCACCCTCTCTGCCCTTTTGTGGTATTTTTCTTTAGAGCCCTTCCAGAATTAGACGTGTCATACTGAATCTGCTTACTGGTTTATTTGATGACCGCCAGTGTCCCTACTAGAATGCAAGCTCTGTGAGCACAGGCATGTTGTTTTGGTCACATCTGTCTCCCCGAGGCCCAGAGCATTGCCTGGCATACAGTGGGCGCTCAATAAATACATGCCTTCCTCCAAACCATTCTCCAGGCTACTGCCAGCATCCTGTTACCGGAATGTAAAACTGACCCAGAGGTCTCCCACTCAGCGCGAGCCCACTGGTGCCTCCCTATTGCCCTGAGGGTACATTTCCTGCTCCGGAGCAGTCTCCGGGTCCTGTGGGGCTGGACCCCCCCCCCCATCTTCCGGTCATCCGCCCTCCACGTGCTCCACACACCGAGGAGGGCCTCTCGCTGCCCGGCCTCCGCACTGCATCCTTGCCTGACCCCAACTTCTGCACGGGCCAGCCCAGCGTCATCCTGCGGACGCCAGGGAGGAGACACCTGCTCCAGGAAGCCCTCCCCGCAGCCCCCTCCAGGTGGTCAGGGTCGGCCAGGCCCCAGTCTGTGCTCTGGTGCAAACACTTGGGAAGCACTAAAAGACGGAGATTGGGAGTTAGACCTGGGCTCCGCTGACCTCAAAACACCCTGGGAAGTTCTCCGAGCCCCAGCTTCCTCCTCTGCAAAATGGGAATAATGACGTCTTCCTTGGGGGATTATGAAGATTCATGTGGGTTGTTGTGTTGTGTTGTGTTATTTGTCTTGTATTTGTGTCAAAACATTCAACATGCACGGCAACGGTGGCCTCATGTTCCAGAAGAACTCATTCAAGCCAAGACCCAAGTCTTGGCCCCCCATTCTCCACGGTTTGGGGACACAGCCTACCTCAAAACACGTGACTCAGGCCGGACCAATCAGAGTGGCTTATTTCGTGGGCTCCCCATTGGGTCAGAGATAAAACAGGGGCTGACCCAGAGCCGGCGGCGCAGGGGTCCGAGGTCCCATCCAGGCTGCGCGGGACTCGGTTTGCAGAGGGGCGCGGGGGCGGGGGGGTCCAACCTGCATTTGAACCTCACAGTGAATGTTCCCGTCTTCTGAGCCGATCCTTTTAGGGAAAGCAAAGCTCCCGTTAGGTTCACGACCCACACGGCCGGGAAAGCCCCAAACCCATGTCATTGTAAGAAAGTCACTCTGAGACTCGCCGTTCGCATCTGTAAAGTGGGCGCTCCCTCTCGGGTGGGAATGCAGGCCCCGAAGGGTCCTGGGTAGAGCCGGGAGTCCGCCCGGCCCCGTCTCCGCGGCTCCACTTAACGCTGGCATCAGTTTATTATGTTCATGCTGAGATCCTGGAAGCTTACGATGTGATTCTCCAGACCTGTGTTGCGGAAGCAGGGAAGTGATGCTCGCTTCTGCGCCAACCGTTCAATGGCACCAGGACACTTCGGAAACTTGGGTTTTGTAGCTTCGACTGAACCCTGGATTGTCTTTTTTGCCCTGCACTCCGCCCTCCCCTTGACTGTGAGTTGTTAAGACGACAGGGCCTCCCTCACGTCTGCGCCCAATGGGTGAATACCTTACTGAAAGTCGGGGTGCACCTGGCCAGCCGCACCCAGTTGCAGCCCGGCTCCCTAACACGGGAGATTGTGGATTATAAACAGCGGTGTTTCTCACCCAGGGGTGATCTTGTCCCTGGGGGGGGGGGGGGGGGGGGCATCCAGTAGCGTCTGCAGACATTTCTGTCATTACAGCGGAAACAGTGCCACCCCCATGGGGCCCGAGGATGCTGCTCCCCGGCGCCTGCAGCGGACAGGGCGCCCCTCCACGGAGAATCATGGCGCCCCAGCTGCCACCGGCCTCGTGACGGACACAGGCCAGGGAGCACCCTGGCAGCCAGGTGTTCCGTTTAGCCTTAGACATTGGCCATCAGTTAAATGATCACAACAGAAAGGATCCGAGCACAGCAGCCCCTCCCCCCCGATCCGCAGGCGATACATCCCCCGTGGAGTCCCCAACCATGGATGGTACCCAGCACCGTGTACACTGTCCTGTCCTATATGCACACGCCTGTGATAGAGTTTGATGTATACATTGGGCACGTAAGCGATCAAACGATAACCGGTAATGGGACAGTGACACCAATACCCCGTGATGAGTGACGTGCGCAAGGCCTCTCTCCATATCTTAGTGCACTGTGCTCACCCTTGTGATGATGTGGATGATAAAAGGCCTAGATGACAAGCTGAGTGAGGGGAATGACGCGGGCGCAGTGACATAGGGTCAGGCTGCTATCGACCTTCCAATAACTCGTGGGAAGGAGGGCCCTCTGGCCTGGACCCACTTGACCGCAGGTCAGTGCAGCCATGGAAGCCGTCACCGAGGGTAAGGGGCCGGGTCACTGCTGTAATTCCACCGGGCGTGGTGGCGAGAGGGGCAGGTTCTGACCCCAAGAGACGCGGGACCCGAAGGCAAGGGTAAGCCACAGGCGGAAAATAAAGCCGATGGAAGAATAAAGTCTGCTCCGGCGTGGGTGTCGGTCATTGCCAGTGGCGCCTTCCCATCTGGCGAGGCTAGCGCTTTCTGTCAATACGGTTAATGGTACCAGCGAAGACTGGACCTTGAGCCCTTGCGGTTCATCTCACAGATACAAGTGCAAGCCCGCTCCGCATAGCGCTCAGCTTTAGGAATTGAAGATCTCACGGTGACGACACCAGGAAGAGCCCCCCAGCCCGACAGCCTTGGTGGTGGTGTTTGGGGGAAGTGAGAGACAGCGTGACTCTAGTGGACAGTGGGGGTGGATGGGGTTGTTCAACAAAGTCTTCTCTGGGGAGGGGACAGGAACGGAGACCCTGAAGATAGAGCAGGAACAGGCCATGCAGATATTTGGGGGAGTTATCCGGGCAAAAAGAGCAGCCAGTGCAAAGGCCCTGTGGCAGACTGTGGCTGTTCCAGGACCGGCCAGAGGCAGTGGGCCTGGAAAGGGCGAGAAGGGACAGGTGGAGTGGGAGAGAGAGCACACTCACCGGGGAGGAAGCAGCGCAGGGGACGCAGGTCTGCTCTCAGGTCTTTGGCTTTTACTCTGCGTGAAGTAAGAGCCCCAGGAGGGTTGGCACGACATGTCAGAAATGACCTATGTGGTTTTTTAAAGGCCCCTCCGGTGGCTGTGTGGACAGCCTGGGGCATGGCTCTGCAAGGGCAAGGCTGGGAGACTATCGGGACGTACTGGGGTGGCCCAGGAGCGGTGAGGGTGGCTCTGCCCAGGCAGCGGGAGTGGTGACGAGTGATGGGATTCACATGAGTCTCACCGGAGGAGGCAGGACTCGCCAAAGGATCAGATGACAGATGTGAGAGACTGAAAAGCACCAGGTCAGGCTTCATATTGCTGCTGATTATTGGAGGAGCACAGGGGCGTCTATTTTGGTCTTGTTTCCTCGTGGAGAAAAGGAGAGAAGCTAACTTTTTTTTTATGTTTGTTTACTTATTTAGAGAGATAGAGTGAGTGGGGGAGGGGCAGAGAGAGAGGGAGAAGGAAAGAGAATCCCAAGCTAATCCCAAGTTAATTCCTAACATCTCGCACCATATTTAGCACATTGTGATGCAGAGAATGCTTCATGAAAGGCATCACTCCTCTCCTGTCTGCTGCCTAGGATATGAATGTGATGGCTGGTGCTCCAGCAGCCATGGTGAATCATGAGGTGATGTAGTTCAGAAGCTACATATGAAGGGTGGGGAAGCAAACAGACAGAGCCAGAGTCCCTGATGACCATGGAACCTCTATCCCAGCCCACCGTTATTCATCGTCAGGACTCTTTCACACTAAGGGAGAAATAGTTGTGTCAAGGTTGACACAATTTAGTATTTCTGGCCCTCAATTCCCTTCTCTATAACAATCAAATAATAAGAGGTCTATCTCATAGAAGTGGGAGGAGAGTTAGATTGGTCAAGATTGTGTAAACAGAGTGATCCAATGGAATACAATAAATGTTAGCTCCTCGGGGTGCCTGGTGGGGCTCAATCAGTTAAGCATCTGACTCTTGATTTCGGCTCAGGTCAGGATCTCACGGTTCGTGAGTTCGAGCCCTGTGTCTGGCACTATGCTGGGAGCGCCGAGCCTGCTTGGGATTCTCTCTCCTTCTACCTCTATCTCTGCCCCTCCCCGACTCACTCTGTCTCCGTCTCTCTAAAAATAAATAAAGAAACTTTAAAAAAACAAATGTTAGCTTCTCTTCTTTTCTCCATGAGTAAACTAGAACTTTAGAACCTGGAGCATCTGGGTAGATCATGAAGCTACAGATTGGATAATACGACATCCACTGCAGAAGAGTTGCTCAAACTTTTCTCCTTGACTGTCTCCCGAGGAAACTTTTTTCTAATGACCCTCCTTCCAAGGCATCTCACTGCCACGGATACACTGTATCCATGCTTACCTCCCTTGGCTTTTCCGAGAGCTCCAAACCATTGTGACCTCTTAAGGTGGTTTTGACCAGGTTCATGATGCTGTCCCTCCTGGTAGCACACGCTGTAGAGCGAGGGTTGGCAAACGTTTTCCGTAAAGGGCCAGGTGGTAAATTTATTTTCAGCTTTGGGCGCCCACGGCCTCTGTTGCAGCGGCTCAGAGCTGTAGCCCCTGTACCACCGAAGCAGCCCCTGACGAGACCTCAGCAAATGAACGTGGCTGTGTGCCAATAAAACTTTATTTGTGGATGCTGAAGTTTCAGGGTCATACAATTTTCATGTCACAAAATATTCTTCCTTAGTTTCTTTCCTGACCATTTTCCCAAAGTAACAAACCGCGTTTAGCCCACGGACTCTACGGAAACAGATGGCGAGCGGTAGTTTGTGACCCATCACTCCAGACCGGCGCTGTGCGATGGAAGCGCTGTTAGCCACAGACGCAGTCATCTCTATCATTTAAATGTTTCCAGTAGCCACAATAAAAAGTAAAAAGAAACAAATGAGCCTAATTCTAATAATAAATTTAACTCAACATATGCAAAATATTACTCTTTCAACATGTAATTATTACTATAAATTATGGATCAGTTGAGCGGCTATGGTATTAGACACCACTGGTCTAAAACGAGGAGATTCACTTCACCCAAGCAAACAGATGGTTCCAGTTGGAGAGGTGAGTGCAGGGCAGGATGGAAGAGATGAGGTCCAAGGAGACATAAACGGAGACCCGGCCACGCAGAGCAGCAATTAAAGAGCTCGACTCAGTTTCAAAGGCAACGGTGCGCTATAGAAGGTTCTGGAGCGAGGGAGTCATGGGCTCAGATTCACCTTCTCGAAAACCAGGCAAGGACACTATTTGGGGAGCAGCTGTGGTCATTCAGCGGTATTTAAAGATGTCACGGGGTGGGTCACGGGGACGCGCAAACTTGCAGCCTCTGACCCACTCCCTCGTTCTTCTTTTGAGTCTGGTGTATTTTTTTTTTTTAATTTATTTCTAGGAGAGAGAGAGAGAGAGACAGCGTGAGCAGGGGAGGGTCAGAGAGAGAGGGAGTCAGAGACTGAAACAGGCTCCAGGCTCTGAGCCGGCAGTCAGCACTGAGCCCGACGGGGCTCGAACCCACGAACCGCGAGCTCATGACCTAAGCGAAAGTCGGACGCTTAACCGACTAAGCCACCCAGGCGCCCCGAGTCTGGTGTATTTTTTACTAACATCCCCTTGATGCATTTGACAAGAGGCATCAGCCCTCACTTCCCCCAGAGTAGCATCCGACCACGGCCCCGGAGGCTCTTCGGTTTGCTTTTGAGGAGCTGGGAAACCGAGGGCGCATCCAAGGGCACCCTTCCTCCCCATGCACCTCTGTAGCCGGGCCGGGCTTGTTGCTAAACTCAGCCCTCCCGAGGCCTCAGACTCGAGGACAAAAGCCCCGAACCATTTCCAGTAATGCGATTTCATGCTCCGAAGTCTTTCACCACCCCTGGAGCCTTTTGATTCCAAAAGGAGCATGTTCCGGGGAAAGACAAAACAAAGTTAGGCATTTCTGTTTAGTTCCAGTAAGCTCTTTGAAAAGTCCCAGCCCTCTTTTTGACAACTGCGCTTCCTTTGTGAGCCGCTGCCACCGAGACCTAATTGGGCTTGTTGTTTTCTTTTTTTCCCTCTGTTAAAAACGAGTTTCCTTTGCCGAAAATTTTTTTACGAAATCATTATGAACCCTCTTCCTCACCCCTTTTATGCCAACATAACTCTAGTTCGTTCTCGCTATTTCCTGGAGCCCAGGAGCTGGGCTGGGGGAGGGCTGGAGGGACGAGCCGAACGCCGGGTGGGTGTCACGCTCTCGCACACTCGTGTGCCCCGGACACAGCCCCGCGTCCCTCGGCAGAGGTCCGGACAGACAAAACGGGGTCTACACGCACATGAGAATCTTACTCGGCCTCAAAAGGAAGGAGATTCTGACACGCTGCGGCGCGGATAAGTCTGGAGGACATTGTGCTCGGTGAATAAGCCGGACACAAAAAAGACAAAAACACTGCTCGATTTCAGCTGCGTGCGATACCTCGGAAAGGCAAATTTGGGGACACAGAGAGAATGAGGGGTGCTGGGCTGGGCGAGGAGAGAAGACGGGGGCTTAGTGCGTCACGTGTACTGAGTTTCAATTCGGGAAGATACAAAGTTCTGGAGAAGGTGGTGCTGATAGTCGCACAACATTGGACTGTGCTTAACGCCACTTAAAAGGGGGTGAGTGTCGCATAAGGTATACAGAGTTGCCGATCACTCTGTGGGCGCCTGAAACTAATGTAACATTGTGCGTCGACTACAGCCCGGTAAAAACAACACTGTTCTATGGTCAAAACGGTGAATTTCCTGTTACGCATATGTTACGACAATTTTCTTACAGAGTCATTGGCCCCTTGCCGCGTTTTCCCACTGAAAAGACGAATGTAGCTCAGGGCTTATCTTCTGTGAAGCTGATTCTCTTAGGGGTAAGTACAGGGCACTGGCGTGATGGCTGCTGCTGAAAGCGCTTGTAGACGCGATGGTCTGTTTAGTAGTTACCCCACTTCTAATGAGAGATCATCTGTCTTCCTTGAAGCCTCCCCCCCTCCCCCAACACACGCACACACACTCTCACACGTACACACCATGCCAGCCGCCGGGGTGGGTAGACTAGTTCCATCTCCGTATCCAGGGCTGGGCACACCTGCCCCAAGTCGGCCACTCAGCATAATCCACTCATGGGTTACACTGTCCGGCATAGGAATGGGTGCAGGGAACCCACCAGACCGACTTTCAAACCCATAATAAGTAGTCTCCTCGAGCCTGCTGAAAGGATAGGCTGCGGGGCTGCATCTGCTTGCAATCGTAAAGGGAAAAGAGACAGAAGATATAGAGAGATCGAATCCTGATGCTATCATCTGAGCCCCTGGATCCAGCCATGCCTGAAGCCATTGTTCCTTTACTTTTCAGGGACGAGAGCCAAAGAATTCACTATTTTCCTTAAGCCAGTCTGAAGTGAGTTTCTGTGCTGACGACTAGTACCTTTTAACTAGTTCCTTTTAACAACCCTTCAGAATGGGCATTATTACCACGTTTCTCTATTTTACAAAGTAGGAAACTGAGGCTCAAAGCACGTAAGCATTTGCCCAAGATCACCCAGGTAGAAAGGAATAGAATCAGAGCCTCTGTCCTGCGTGGCCTCATGGGATGATGTGAGGGATCCAAGAGTGGTATGAAGGATGTCTTGTGACCTTGAACTCTACCACGGATTCGTGTCCTTCCTTTCCTGACCTGTTTTCTCCACCATCTGACCCCTGGAGTTCCCATTCTGTGTCCCGCTTGCTCTTGATGTTAGAGGGTAAGCAGGGAGGAACCCTCCTCTGCGTATCAGAGATTCTCAAGCCCTCCCAGCCCCAAACTCAGAGATGAACTGGGTCAGGAGAAAGGCAGGTGTGAGGGGAAAGAAACCATATCACTTAGAAAGTAACAGAAGGCCAAACTCAAAATGCTTTGAACAGTAGGGGGTTTGTTACGTCACAGAAATAGGGTGGCCTCAAGGGTGGATCACCAGCATCTCACAACATACGGACCAAGCTTCTCTCTGTCTTCCCATTCTGCCGTCTTCTGATCACTGCCTCAAGCTCACAAAATGGCTGCAGTTGCCCAGGCATTCTTTCCTCCCAGAACCTCATCTAAGAGGCCAAAGAAGACTGTAACTTCTTCATAATTTCTTACCCAACTCAGGGAAACTTCCCCAGAAGTTGCCGCAGTAAATGTCCCCTTACTTCTTATTGGCCAGGATTGGGTCCCAAATCAACCCCCCAAACCAATCCCTGCTGACTGGAAGGGCAAGTCGTGATTTACCAGGGTGACCCAGTTGCTGTGGCTGTGTGACAATTACCCCAAAACTTGGTGGCACAAAAAATTTATCACGGTAATGGATTCTACCCGTGGAGAACTCAGATAGCACTTGAGGGACCAGCTTGGCTCTACTTCAGGACGTGTGACCCCTTAGCCGTAAGTCCACAAGGTGGGGGGGGCCGGAATCAGCTGGTTCACCCACGCCTGGGGGACCATGTCCGCTGTTGGCTGGAGGCTGGTTTTTCTCCATCTTCATCTACCTGCATGGGCTCTTTGAGGCTTCCTCACAGCATGTGGCTGAGTTCCAAGGGTAAGTAGAGAGAGAGAGAGAGAGAGAGAGAGAGAGATCACCAGCCACACATCACCTTTTGTGACCAAGCCTCAGAAGCCCCATGACACCAGTCACTTCTACGATATTTTATTCATCAGGGCACTCACAAAACCCACCCACGTTCCAAGGACCAGGAAATCGACTCTGCCTCTGAACGGGGAGCGGCGAGGTACTGGAAGAAGACGTGAGACCAGATATTTGGGAAAATATCAGAGCTGGAACCTGCTTCCGCTGAAACACAGCCTCATTTGTGGGGTGCTCTTGGTCAGGTGGAAGGCAGGTGAATGATCGTAGTGTCTAACAAAGAAAAGGACACGATTTGTGTGCTGGGCTCTGGCCTCAGGACCTTGGCATCTGCTGTTCCCTCCTCCTGGAATATACTTCTTCCCATTCTCTACCTGTCTGATTCCTCCCCATCTTCCCAAGGGCAGCATCAAGGGCATTTCCTGAGACAGGTTCACTGACCTCCAGCTTAAACCAGGTCCCCTCTCTAGGATCACCCAGAGCGCCACCTGCCTCTCTCACCATCTTCTCACAGAAAAAACATATCGCTGGGGTGTACAGCCTCCTGGTTAAGGCGTGGCCTCTGCAGCTAGGAGGCTGGGGCTCAGCTCCAGGCTCTGCTACTCACCAGCCGTGTGGCCTTGGACAACTCACTCCACCTCTTGCAGCCGAGGTTCCCTAAACGGAAATACTAGAAATCAAGCTACCAGATTGGGTTTTCACAAAGATTGAATGAGGTGCCCAAGGTAAAGCACTCTGTGCCTGGCACCTGGCGAGGGCCCAGGTCCCTCCTGTACTCTGTCTAATGCCTCCTCTCCCTCCCTCTGCAAGCTATGGAGACGTCCGATTTTACTCACCTCACAGTTCTTAACCCCTGGCTTGGCCCAGTGACCTGCATGGTGTCAGCAGCAAACTCACTGAACAAATCAGTAAATGAACCAACGATTCTGCAGTAAGAGCGGATCTTCTTCCCATGGAGATGACCTTGCACCTGGGTGGCCTCAAGGAGCCAGGTAAATGCATGGGGTCAAGCAATGCATTTTTGCACAGGGTGTAAATTCCGTGCCTTAAGTACACGCCATGCACAGAGCGTGGGGGGGGGGGAAGGGGGGGCAGAGGGCAGGAGCAGCGGCCCCTCCCTCCCTGGGTGCAGCCCCATCCGAAAGCGGATCGCACTTCAGAAGGCAGAGGCTGGTTGAGTGGTCAGTGGAGACACGTCCCCCTTTTGAACCTGGTGGACTCGCTCATTTGGGACTTACTGCCCCTGTGGGTGGGGGGTGGGGGAGGAGGCTGGACCGAGAGGGAGGGGCTCTTCTCGCCCCGCCCCTCCCCCAGACCAGCCCACGGAAGGGGCGGCTGACGACCGGCCATAAAATGAGGGAAGAACGCTGCTTCAGCAAACAAGTTATTCCACCGGTGAAGGTTTGTGAAATGGGCAGATAAGCATCTGCCGGGAACCGGGATCGAACTGGTCTCCTGAACGTCCTCCCTCCCGCCCCCCCCCCGCACGCCCTCCGGGGCCAACCGCTGGGCAGGCCGTGCAGGAAGCAGGTGCAGGGAGAACCTGGGAGAGCAGGTTGACAGCCCTCCACCCGCCCCCCTGCAGGCCTGAGAGGCCGCAGTCCCCGGCGATGGTGGGCCCGCGCGTCCCTTCTGTGATTCGACTCCTTTAACTCAGCAGCTACTGCGTGCGGTCACCGGGGTCGGTATCCTGGGCGCTGGCGGTGCCCGCGGACGCGTCACTAGGCCGCGGGTGAGGCGGAGGGCAGGTAAGCGCTCACCTGTCCAGAAAGCCGAGAGCCGGGCCGGGAGGAGCCGTGCCCACCTTTGCCCCGGCCCGGGGCCACCCCCGCCGCCTCCTCCCTGCCTCGGGCTCTCGCTCTGCCTTCGCGCCGAACCACCTCCCAGATCCTCCTCTGGTTCCTGGAGGGCTGCGAGATTAAGAGCAGAAACTCTGAAGGGCAAACGAATGCCGGGCAAACGAATGCCACCTCCCCCACCCCTCCGGCCCAGCAGCCCGGGAGAGCTGCCGTGTGTCACCACCCGTCAGGAGAAGCCCAGACACTGTGGTCTCATTTTGCAGATGAGAAGTCGAGGCTGATTCGGAAGCGATGGGCTAACGGCGCAGGGGCCTTTTGGAACCGGAGACTCGCATCTAGTCAGAGATGTGGCTGGAGGTGAGGAATGATCCCAGAGGGAGTCGTGAGCCCCTAAGGTCACGTGTCAAGTGAGTGAGAGGCATGGAGGGGAGTCGGAGCTCCCGCGGTCAAGTCTGGCCAAAGGGGTTTCAAACTTTCTGCAAGGAGAAAGGGGTGCTCCTTGAAGGGTGCTGCCAAGGGGAGCTCAGGAATCAGGGGTGGCAGGGCAGCTGGGCTTGTCCGAAGACTGTGCTTCAGAGAAAGCCCTTTGTACTTAGAGAGTATGTTCATTAGCGGAGGCCAGAGGAAGGAGCCAGAGGTGAGGACGCACGGTACCACAGACATAGGTCTGGGGAGCAGGGTGGGGACATCTGCACCACCGTGTACCCTCGTCCATTGTCCCGATGGAAGGCTTTTCTGCTGCTTTCAGTCTTCCCTGTTTGATTCAGAGTTTCTTCCTTCTAGCCCTTTCTCTGGGGGGCCAGGGAATACCCGTTCTCAGCCCCTCCTGCTTAGTGCACAGAAGGAGACGCCCTGTGTGCCGAGAGGCCTCAGCCAGCTGGTAGGGGTGAGTGCCTGCCCGCTGGGCACTGCCCCCAGGGGGAAACTGAGGCCCGTCCGCCCACGGCTAGAAGGGAAAGTGCTAGCATCTTCTCTAAACCAGCAGAAAAAGGAGCCCAGGGCGTCAGGGAATCACCACCAGCAGCCACATCCCTGTGACCGTCCTTATTGCTCCAAATCCTCTGATGAGCAAGGTGACCAAAACCAGTCCTGGGCCTTGAACTTCAACCCCCTTGTGAGTCTCAGGATTTCCTTCCCTGCGAAATACTAATTTCCACAAGGAAAACTAAGAGGGGATGGAAACTTCTCTTCATCAAGTTTGGGGTTATAATTCCATTCTCCGCACGGGGGTCAGCCGGGCTTGTCCACAGCACATTTGACCGTGTCCTTCCCTTGATGAAAGGTCACAGATGGCTCCCCGCGGTTCCTGGATGAACTACTTCTCTAGTGTGTGGGCACATGTGTGTCCCGTGTGCCCCGAACAGGCCATTGTGGGCTGTCATCCACTGTGCTGCTGGTCACCCGCCTCTGCTTGTGCCCTGAGAGTGTCCATCCGGGCCCCCAGCTCCAAGGCCCCCTCCTAAACCACTCTCTAGGACACCCACTTTCCCCTCACCCCACACCCTCCCTCAGTTCTTCAAGGATCCTCTTCCGGGCCTCAGGACGCTCACACATTCTGTTCCCTCAGCCTAGCATGCTCTTCCAGGTGCTCCTCACCTGGCTCACAAGAGGCCATCCAGCCTCAGAGAAGGCATCTCTGACCCACAGCAGGGTGGGCCCCACCCCGCCCCCTCACGCAGCCGCCGTGGCCCGCAGGACTGCATCCCAGACATTCTCTGGTTCAATGCCCGTCTCCCCTGGATGCCGGCTGGGGGGTCACAGGCGCAGGATGTGGGTCTGCTGTTACCACTGCAGAGAGCCTGGCGCATGATGGGGGCGGGGGGCTCACTTGTGGGACTGAGGAACTAAGAGAGCAGGAGGGACACCTGGGTGGCTCAGTCAGTTGAGCATCCGACTTCGGCTCTGGTCATGATCTCACAGTTCGTGAGTTCGAGCCCCACGTCGGGCTCTGTGCTGACAGCTCAGAGCCTGGAGCCTGCTTTGGATTCTGTGTCTGCCTCCCTCTCTGCCCCTCCCCTGCTTGCACTGTCACTCTCTCTCTCTAAAAAATAAATAAAACATAAAAAATTTTTAAAGAAGATATATATTTTTTTAATATTTTTATTTTATTTCTAGGAGAGAGAGAGAGAGACAGCGTGAGCAGGGGAGGGTCAGAGAGAGAGGGAGACACAGACTGAAACAGGCTCCAGGCTCCGAGCTGGCAGTCAGCACAGAGCCCGACGCGGGGCTCGAACCCACGAACCGCGAGATCACGACCTAAGCGAAAGTCGGACGCTTAACCGACTGAGCCACCCAGGCGCCCCAAGAAGATATATTTAAATTAAAAAAAAAAGAATAAGAGAGCAGGAGAGCGATCTGGGGAGGAATGGGGGTGGGGGAGGGCTGTGGACGGGTCCTGAGGTTTCTGCCCAGATGCCCTCCTCCCGAGGAGCTTTGTGCCTCCTGTTCTTCCTGCAGAAGAACTTGGCTCTCTCTCCATCAGGGTCACCGCGAAGCTCTTCAGCACAAAGTACTGAGGGCCTACTGTGTGCCGGGTGTGCCGCTGGGCCCCGGGGAGACGCTGCGGCGAGTGGCAGGACATGTGGGTCCTGATCGCCGCAAGTCTGTGCCCTTCGAACCTCAGCAGCGCGTCTCTCCTCCTTTGGTCCCCTGCCCCCCAGGTCCCCGCGTGGAGCCTGGTCCCTGGCAGAGGCTTTCGGATGAATTCACCAGGATTCAGCGGACCGTGGACTGGCCGGTGCTAAAACTCATCCTGCCCCTCATGCAATCCCATGATACTCAGTATTGACCTCGAAGTCCAGATACCCACATGTGGTCACCACTTGAGGGGTGTGTATGAGCGTGTGTGAAGGCCCAGGGGTGTATGTGAGAGGGCAAGTGTGTGTATACATGTTTGTGGCCTGAGTGTGTGTGTGCACGTGTGTGTGTGTTGTGCAGACCTATCTTCCAGGCTACCGGACAGGGCTGGGCTGTGAATGGGCTGATCGTGAACCCCAAAGGGAGAGAAAGAAAGCAGCCTTTGTCCTGAACAAAGACTGGTCACCAGGAGTTGAGTGTTTTAAAGAGCTCATCGGGGGGGGGGGGGGGGGGGGGGACCTTGTCCCCACAGCAAACACCTCTCCTGACATTTCCTACATTAATGACAATGTGGTTACCTAAGAAGTGACCCTACAAAGGCGAGATGTTTTCTAAACCATATTTGATCAAATTGCCTAGGTTTTACATACATTATTATTTCCTACATGTAGAAACACAGGCTTTTCTGGAAGAGGGCTGGTGAGCTTGACTTTGATGAGTAGGATTTAAATCAGCAAAATCACAGACAGGGACAAAGGAAAAGGAGCTATTAATGAGCAGTTTCCCATGGAGCATGTACCAGAACGGCACGTGTGGAGTGAGAACAGCTGATTTTCTCATTCCCGGGTGATAAACATCCCAAACTAAGGTGATTTGGCATTTAGTTTCCTCGTCTGTACTGTGGGGGTGCTGGTAACTCTTCAAAGAACTCTCAAGTCTGAAAAGAAACACAGTAAAACCTTGGATTGTAAGTAACTTGCTCTGCGAACATTCTGGGAGACGAGCCAACATTTGCAATAAACTTTGACTTGATAAACGAGCTTGCAGTACGTGACCCCGAACGTCACATGATCATAACTGAGCCAATGGTTATTCTCTCTCTCTCTCTCTCTTTCTCTCTCTGTGGGATTGTGGGTCACCGACTCCTATGCTCGGATGCCCCGTCTCTGCATCGTGAGCAATAGCAAGAGGTATGGAGGAGATCTCGACTGCAGAGAAGGAGGAGAAAAAGGCAGAGGAGCCCCTGCTTCAAATGAGATTAGGGAGACGTGTAGAACGTGGGAAACCGTGCAAAACTTTGTAGAAAATCACCACCCAAACAAGGCTGGAGCAATGCGAGCAAAGAGTCTGTTTCAGGATAACGCAGCTGTGTCACATTTCCCCACAATCCTTAAAAGGAGGCAAAAGCAAGCGTCACTGGACAGGCTCCTTGTTGAAGCTGCACGAAAAGAAAAACATCCGATCGAGCCAACAGATAGCAGTGATTCCGTCAGTGATGGTGAACATCGTCCCTCACAATGACCCTCCTCTCTCTTGCCTCCCTCACACCAGCCACGCAGGTTTTCAAAGGGAAGTGCAGGTTAATTTG